TCGGCACAACACTAGGTTACATAACTCAGCGGATACAAAACATCGCTGTGTTTTTCATAAATCAACAAATGATAATTGAAATTACATGACAGAGCGCTATATTCTAGGGGACGCACAAGCCTGCCTGTGTCTCAGAAGCACAGGAAATCATAAGCCTGCATGATGTCTCATCACAGAGGTGTTCCTAGGTGTTGCTCAAGTGGTTTCCTCCGATTAGCCCACTAAAGTCTTTCCGCCAGCACCTAAACTGTTGTAACCTTTTTCCAGTTCAAATAAACCACAGCAAATGTTAGGCACACTAACTTGACGATGTCCCTTGATTTTTCTTTTCTTTCTTTTAAAAAAAAAAAAAAAAATTGCATTCACAGTGAAAGGCAGCACTGTTAAAGAAATTCAGGCTGTGGCAGTTGTAAAATACCACACAGCAGCACATTTTTATCCAACAAACCAGATATGATTGCTACAAATGACAGAAAAAAATAGCTGATCATCAAAACACTGCCACATGCTATTTGTTTCGACTGCCATATTAAGACTTCACCCTGTCTGATAAACAGTGTCCTCTGCTGCTTAGCTTCTGAATTATCCCTGAATTTCTTCCTATAAAAACTGTGTCTGTTCAAGATCAAGGAGGCTGAGAAGTGTGTCCCATAATGTATTGGGTGAGAACTCTAAACAACAAACAATCCAGTTTTTCACTATGCCAAAACACACAGATAGTAAGCAAACTACCCATTTACATGTATACACAAAAAAATGCCTTAGTGTAGGTCAATGCACAGCAGTATGGAAATGCATTTCTTCAAATATTAACAGATTTTTTTGAAAACATTAACTATAATCCTAATCTAATGAACATCGAGGCTTTAAATCTCATACCCAAAACACTGTGAGGGTTTGTCAAAAATAGTAAATATGTACAAAATAATTACAATTCCGGGAACAGAACAGAAATGTCAACAACAAAATATCCGGAGAATACAGTCAGCCTGTTTCTTTAAGGATCAAAAAGCCTATTAAAGCACCCAACAAGCCATACTGTTTCATTTCTCATTAATCATCGGCGTCCAAGTCCAGCCAAAGAGAGAGTGGAAAACTAACCACTGGAGAGCTTTATGACAGCCTCTTTTTTGTCTCCTCGCAGTAGAAAAATAATCTTCAATGGCAAGTAAATTCAGTGAAAGAACAGACGATCTCTACGCTATGCTACATATAAATGTATCTGTATCACTTTGCTAAAGACAAATGATTGCCTGAGCTCAAAAGTGACCGTCCTATATTAAGAGTTAACTTTAAACAGTGGAGGATATTTCATCTATCTGCTGTGCACAGGCCACAAACAATAACATGTCCACACTGAAAGGAAATTCCTCTGCCTCCTCTCTTCTCGGCTGAACACACAGCTCTCTTAATCCCACTTTGATAATGAGGTCATTTCACAATATTATCTCTTCATTTTCCACTTTCAAATTTGGCATTGCTTTGCTACAGGAATAACAAAAAATATTGATCTCTATCTGTCTTTACAAAAGAATAAGGTAAATAGTTATGTTTGACTGATTGAAGAAAGAGGTTGTTTTGGGTTGTTTTTTTTTAGTTAGGACTCTTTGATCCTTGTTCACTACTCTTGAAGTGGGAGTGCTAAGAAAGGAGGTGGCAAGCAATCTAACAGACAGAGATTTTTCGAAGAACTATGCCCTGCCAAAACTAACTCTGATCACAGCTTTGAAACCATCTGATTGCAGGAGCACCAAGTCTGGCCTTAAGTGGAGGTGACAGTGTGTCTGAGAGACACGTTACAAGTCAGAGGAAATTGGAGATAAACAGATAAAAGAATGCAATCTCTGCTGGATGTAGCAAGGCACAGGGGGCAGGAAATAAACCTGTATTTAAGCTGATTACCCGAGCAGAGTCCCAGCCCCTTTCAGCAGTTCTGTAGTGCCCGGTCTCAACACTGCCAATGTTGTTAATTAGAGATTTGCTAAGGGGAAAAAAAGGCAGCCTTGTCAGACTTGCAGGAGTGTTAGTGATGGCTGGCTGGAGGGGGACATGCAGAGCTCTTAATTGGGTCTGTATGCTGTATCGGTGGCTGGCTGAATCGCTGGTGATGATTGCTGTGAGCAGGTGGCCATGGTGGCAGCTCCATGCAGGCCGTCCCAGGCCAGCCTGTCTGTTCTTGTCAGGACCTGGAACACTGAGCAGACAGCTCCTGAGCCCCACGCTCATTACGCCAAGTTGCCCTGCTCGTTGCTTAGCAACACCGTCACAGCCCCTCCACAACACCTCCCTGGCCCCACAGTGTAACCCGCAGTGGTGGAGAACTACTTCCTCACTGTCCAGCTATAGAAAAGATGAATTCGCCATTACAGTAAATTGTCTTTTCCTGCAGCAACAACTCATGTCCAATGGTACTGTGTCAGCGCTAGACTATATAAGCTGTGAAAGAATTCTGGTCTCTCACTGCCTCACAAAAACTGTGCTGTTTATCACATTGTATGTATTTTGAACTATTATTGCCCTTATTACAATAGTTGATGCAGTGCAAAAAACTTTTAATTTGTAATAACAAATTTAGAGTTTCTTTCACACAAAGGTACTCCACTTACACACATATGTGTGAAATATAGTATAGATGGCAAAAATTGGAGTTTGTACAATTCTAAAGAGCTTGAAAGTCATTACGTATGACCAGCTTTATTTTTCAACACAGTCTGAATTCTCTTAGGCAGCTTTCTCGTCATTTCTTTTAGTCTTCAGGAATCGTTCTCGAGGATTCTTGAAGGACATTCAAAGCTCTGTCTGTCAACATGATCTGTCTGTCTGGGACCTGAGGAGCCCAGTTGATGACTAACAGTATTCCATTGTGTGTTTTTCAATCCAGGTATACTTTTACGGCATTGACAGTGTGTTAGGTTGTCATTGTCAAAATAAAGCCATTGCCAGTCTGACACTTTTCCAGGGCATTTTGGATCAAATTGTGATGGTACTTTTCTGAGTTCATAATTCCACTAATTTAGATAAGATCCCCAACACCACTGGCCCCTCCACTGTGTTTTACAAATGGTGATAGATGATGATTGGACAAAAAAATAAAATGTGATTTGGATTTGGATAAGACCCATGGCCACTGATTTTCAGTCCAGCTCTTATGTAATTTGGCATAACTCAGCCTTTTCTCCCTGTTCCTTCCTGAAGAATGGCTCATTGACAGCCACCCTTCAGCTGAGAGCATTTCTGGAGTGGACAGTAGAGGGATCAGCTGAAGGGCAGGATGACTCTCTCAGGTACTTTGTCAGGTCTTTTCTGGATTTTTTCCTGTTTCATAAAAACAAAACTTTCAGATACTGTTCATCTGCTGTAGATATATTTTTTTAGGCCTGCCACTTCTTATTCTGTCCTGCACCTGTCCTAGTTTCCTCAATTTTCTTAGAGGATGCACTGCACACCCTGCTGAGATATACCAAGTTTTGGGAAGATATTTCTTTGGGAATCAATTTTTGGGTTTAAAAAATAGTGTTTCTGCCTGTAAAACTGTGTTATCCTTAGAATTCTTCATAGATTCGGGTAAAGAAATGGCAACACATGTTTTTGCAAAAGACTACGAGTAACAAAGTAACTAAGAACACAAATTAGCACTGGTTCTTTGCTCATTTTCCTGTTTCTAGGCATAACAGTGGGTTAATTTTTTTTGAGTTAAGCTCTTAGAAGTGAAAAAGCAGCCAATAAAGGAAAAAAACTGAAAGATCTTCATGAAGATTAGAGAACTATTGCTCAAGACCACTTTAAAACACTGCAAGAAAGTTTGACTCCTTGGAAGCAAAGTATAAAGAAATGAGGGGTAGCTCAAGACTTTTCCATAGTACTGTATGTTTCTGAGTTTCAGTCAGACATGGTTATACAGGATATTTGCAATTACAATCTTTGTCCTAACAATACTTGACTCACACAAGCACACAAATGTAGCCATTAACATATGCAAACCTCCACACAGATCTGGGAAGCATTCTTGCGCTGCTGCTGCCATGTTTTCTGGCAGTAATATTCATTTGCAAAAGAGCGTAGCCAAAGTAGGAGTAAAGGGGGGGCAGTAAACTTTATGCAAACATTACAATCCAACAGCCTTACCCAAGACTGGAGAGACAAATGCAGGAATAACAAAAATCCACCCTCTGCAAACAGACAATCTTCACCCTAAGAGTCATTTGAATGTTAAAGTCGTTAGAATGTAAAAGATTTACAAATTTTTCATTTGGTGGGGGAAAACGTTCTTTAGTCCAACATTTTTGTTCTCTTTCTTTTGCAAACTGCCATCAGTTTATGGGGGACCTACAATATGCCCCAAGAGAACCTAACATTTCTCTCTCTGCGGCTAGAATACTTTGGACAGTAGTCAGGCAAAGTTTCATGATTCAATGGAAATTTGATGAATGCTATAAATGAAGCGTATAAGAATCAATCATGTGAGGATTTGACTGGACAGACTTTGGAGAAGGGCATGTGAAACACCGCCTGCTTGGAAAATGACAGGAAACACTAGAATGACATCAGCTGTGGCACAGTGCAAGGCCTGTTTAATGAAATGGAGAAATCAATGGGCTTCTATAACGCCTTTTAAAAGATGTAGCACACCTCGAGGCTCCAGTTGTGAACTGAAAAACGGGACATATTTCATGCAACCACTGAAGAAACTGGAGCAGAGTTGGAAGCCAATCAAAACTAACATCACCCCCTAATATGCAGTGACTAATCTGGCAGTAATAAATGTTATTTTCACTTCTCGCTTCTCAGAGGGTTATGGCTTCAAACTGAAATGAAACCAACTTCCAAGGTTTTTTGTGCTGTGCATAGGATCTGTGTTATTGAAGCTGATTTAATCCAGTCAACAGCCCACTAAATGACACACAGACCTGTCAATGTTCTAAATGCAGGCTGTCCGGTGTAAAAAAAAGTTAATATAAAATTATATCTTCTCTAAAATAACAATCCACACCAATACTTACCCACATTATGGGGTGCTGCTCCAGTCATTGAAGCCGGAGAAAAGGGAAAACTCTCAGGCCAAGGTGAACTTTACCATGCCAAAAAACCCGCAGCATGCGAAAGCTGAAAAACCCAAAGGGTGATCATTTGTCATGGGCAGTTCACATGTCTGGAATGTCTCAGTTTGTGCACTCAAAATATCAAACAACACGTGCAGTGCTTGTGGAGATCAGGGACGCTCAAATGTCGAATGATCAAAGTGAACGGAGCTGTCCCCACAACGTTCACATACAGCTGTGGCCTTCTTGGGGTTGCTCTTGGGCTGAGGGTGCTAGACCTCTTTGTGGAAGTACCTGCAAATACATGGTTTTGTCACTATTCACACATTCCTGTAAGTGTTGGGCCTGCTCAGCCTTATACCTCCATTTGTATGGGTTGCTTGCCTTTGGCTTGTCTGCTGATTAGAAGCACTGAGACTTCACAGAAGGAAATTAAAGCATACTTGCCAACCATCATTTAGGTGTTATGGAAAGGGACTCAAGTTCTGTCTTTTAAACTTTTGTACTTAAATTTCTTGTTATTTATTATTGGTTGACATTCACAGACACTTATAGATATTTGCTTATCTATAAGCGTATATTAGACGAGATATAGGTCAAGATGAAGATCATTATCATTCAGCTTTTGTACAGGTGGTGCACTAGCCATGCACCTGTTCTTCATGCCAGTTCATAGACTGTATATAAAGGAGGGATATAGTCACATGCCAGATTAGCAGGGAACACAGGCTTCTTAAATTTATTGTTGGACTCGCCTCACCTGCCTGCCCACCTGCCTATGATCTCAGCTTCTTCTTCAGAACAAACCAGTTGTCCCTTTCAGGGTATTCACTGCGGTGTCAACAAGTAAGCAATCTCATCTGCATTATCAAGAAAACTTGGGAGCGTCTTTTTGGAATCTTTGTTAAAGGACTTACCTGGACTTACCCCGCTCTCCTCTCTCCCAGAGTAATTACTCCCAGTGATTGGATCTGAGTTTGTTTTGGGTGTTGGGTTACAGGCAGCTTTTCATTATTGCCTTTTTTGGACTTGGCACACAAAATGAAAAATTATCATGACTAAATCAGGGTTTTTTCAGTATATTTCTGTAGAAACGTTCATCATTTTAACATGGAAGTGTACGGGGATTTACCATATACTTAGTAAAAGACAGCCACCATGAGGTCACCTATTTTGAGGCCTCAACATTAGCATTTTGGCTGCCGCCCCATTTTAGTTTTTGCAAGCCAGATGTGACCATATGCAGATGAGACATCGCAGCGCTAAGTAATTAATGAGCACTTGAAATCTTGGTTAGTAAAATGCATTGAACTGTATGGGTTACTCACTGACACCTGATAAGTGGTGTAGCAATTTCACTCACCAGTTTCACCCACTCAGTGTCTTTTTGGTTTATTAAAAAGCTCCAAAAGGCACCAACTGTACAAACACAGTTGAGAGCTCCAGTTCAGTGACTCCAATTAGAAGAGGTTAGGCCTGGAAGACTGATCGGCTACAGCTGCCTGTTTTGAGACACCTGTCAATCTAATGTAGTCATGTTCCTAATTGCAGTATTTAGAATATAGAAATATAGAAAAGTTATACAAAAGTTACAAGGGAATAAACAATTTTACCCCTGTACAGGTGTTATGAACGAGGAAATTATCCAATTTTTTTTAACCAGGTTATAAAGTTAGGCATTTTAAAAATAGATGGTGTAAAAGATGACATCACCCACTCATTGATGAAGTGCCATTTTTTTCACGCTTGCTTTTGATGAAAAGGGGAGGGTCTGAGTATAAGCCTACATGCCCATTGGCTAATGGCTTATCAATCACAAGTCTTTAGACCAGAGGTGGGGGAACTCCAGGCCTCAAGGGTCGGTGTCCTGCAGGTTTTAGACGTGTCCTTGATCCAACACAGCTGATTTAAATGGCTAAATGACCTCCTCTATGTGTCTTGAAGTTCTCCAGAGGCCTGGTAATGACCTAATCATTTGATTCAGGTGTGTAGACCCAGAGTGATGCCTAAAAAATCTAGTAAAACAAGACTAAAGTGGAGAGCGTGAGGAGGAAATCAGGATTCCAGAAATCAGAAGTCTTTTACCTGTCACGTGATATTTCCATGAAGAATGTGAAGAATGCCTAAACCTCTAGTTAATATTTGCTTTATATGCAATGATAAAAACAGCTTGGTTTCTCATTAGTACAAAAAGAATGAACCCTGGGGAACACACTCTGACCCCAAAAGAAACCAGCCAAACATTTAACTTGAATATGACACAAGCCCAACACAAGCAAATATTATTAAACTGTTACCTAGCGGGTGCTATGTAATGATTGCACAGTCAGTCTTAGGGCAGTAATCTAAACTTGTGTTGTCATTTGACCTTTGTCCTTGGCGTCAGCGTGTCAGCCATCCCATTGCCCAGTGCAGTAGTAAGTCTTATTTTATAAGCTTTTCATTTTTCTCTCCGGGTTTGTGGCAAGTGAGGTCAAAAGGATTTGTTTATTTTTACCCTACTCCAAAACATCATTCACCACATCTGTAGCCAGGCAATGGGATATTTTAGATTGAAAAGGCTCACCAAAAAGAGAAAAATGAGCCTTTAGACTTACAAATAATGAATCACTACAAAAAGAAAAAGCGACAGCAGAAAAGAAAAAAGAAACACAATGGATTTCCTTCTGGCTGGTCTGACATTACAAGGATGTTTAACTTAAAGTATCAAGGGAGGTTAACTACTCAGACCAATACACAAAGCTCAGGAGACAAGAGAGTGAGCAAGAAAGAAAGGGGTGGGCTGGGAAGGGAAAATGTAATTAATCATACTACAGTCTGTGGGTCTGGTGGAGGTGTTCTTGAGTTCTGGGGTTTTTTGTCGGTCTCAAGAGAAAGGCTAGTGGAACAGGAATGCTGTGTACGGGTGGTCAATTAGTTTAAAATTTTCAGCTGTGACAGAAGCATTCTCCTAAGCCCTGGTCCCAAGCTCCCTCCCACCATCCCCGAACAAAACCACATCATCAGGGCCTAAACCTCATGTCCTGATCTGAGGAATTCCCTGGGCTGCAGCATAAAGAGGCGCAATCCATTTAGTCCCAACCTAAATCAACAGCCTTTTACTGTGGTTATTTTGGACTGCCTTATGTCCAGGATCTGGCAGCACTTTCAACCTCTTTTCAGTTCCACACGTCCAGCAAAACTCTGAGAACCATACCTCCAGAACTGCTTTTTCACTTCCCTGGTGTCACAGTGTGTTGCACATCTTTTCCAATTTGATTGGCTGCCGTTCCACTTTTCTGGAAAGATGAGATTAACCATAAAAGCACGACAAACACCTCACAATCGGGCTGACATCAATCCTGATTATGGAGCAAATATGCTTTCTGTCAAGAGTAGAAAGACTGTCGAGAATAGAGGACTGACTATCTCCTGGAACTTCAGTGCTTCGGATAATAAAACGCTGACTGCAACAACGATCAAGTTTCCCAGCAGGACAAGGGAATAGAGCTTGGCCTTTACTACACTTGCATGACAAATGGAGACAGCATTAAAGCTGCAGAGGGCACCCAAATATACACTTACACGTACACATGCGAGTGTTGATAGACAAAAAACACACAGTGGCTCATACCGCACTGTTGCGGTTAATCTAGAGATTAACAGTATTATCAATCATTCTCTCTGATTCAGTGACAGGCATGCCCACTGGGAGGTAGTTGACACAGTCTGAAAGGTTTCATAAAGAACTTAGGCAAATCTCCATTTTATTCTACACGCTCACTAACATGCTGCTGCTTATTACAGTGATGATATTACATAAAATATGAAGAAATATTTTCTTCTGAATGCGCAGACTACACCTCTGTAGGCATTTTGTTTTGTTTTTTCAAGCTTAGTAATGTGTATTTGTGAAACATGGATCTCTATCAGTACAGTTATTCACCATCAAAGCATGCATCCATGTCTTTCAGACTCTGCTTATGTGCACAAGATTGTGCAGATTACAGCGAAAGCACTTTAATAGATTTGTCCCACTGTTTGTGCATGCCACTTTGCATGAATATGTGTGTGGGAGTTCAGAACAGGAAATGTTAAGGTTTAGCTAGTTCCTTGGAAACAAAGGCTCCAGCAGATACGCAAGCCCTTTCTTTTTATAGGCACGCTGGGCTCATGTCTGCGTCGCCATTGGGCTGAAGAGGAAACGTCTCAGAGCTACAACCCCCACCTTTCCCTCCATCTTCTATAGATGGCCCGACCTGCAATGCATTACAGTCAAGCAACTTTATTACATAAAAGCAATTAAGAGTAAAGCTTTGGTAGACTTGTTCCTGGACCAGTACCAAATGACAGACAATGCAATCCACACTCTTGGGTGTATTCACACTGCCATGCTAGTATGCAAGAAAAATGTGTCCCAATACATATTAGGTCAAAAACACCATGGCACAATGTTTAGACAAAGTAGCACAGCAGTGCATATATTGTGAGAGGAGGTGCAGATAAAAAGTAAAAAATAAAATTTTATGATTTGGAACGTGGGGCTGGTGCTGCTTAGCTGTGATTCTACAGTGACTCACCAACCCCATCAGCTTCCCATACCTTTCACTGCTCTCTTACAATCAGTAAATAAGTAAGTAAGACACCCCCCCCCCACACACACACACACACACACCACCACCACCACCACCAGATCTGTTCCTGCATTGCATGTTAGCTTCTGCCATTAAAAACCTGAGAAAAGGGTGGTGTTTTTTGAACTAACTACATCAAGTTCTATTCATTCCCAGCCCAGATTAATCAATCCGCACTGTTTCCCAGACTATTAATAAGGCCTTGAATCTGACAATAAAAGAAGAAAAAGAACCACCAACAGATTTCAAATAATGGAGTGTCCCTGCTTGCTAAAAGCTAAAAGCCTTATAAACCTTGATCTCCCAGCTCAACATTTCTTGATCTTCACTCCTGATTGCAAAAAACAAAACCCTGAAATGGCCCACATGATAGAGGACCAGTAAGAAGTGCTCATTTCAGGGAACTGGCATATACCTTCTCTATTTCACTCCCCCAGTTGAAAAT